GCTGCTGGTGGTGGTGATATGGACAGATAGGCAGATTAGGAAGGCATATAAGTGAAATATGGACAAATAGGTAGATGACAAGTGGATAGATAAATGACACTAGATAAATAAGTAAACAGATATGTGACATAGATAGATAGACAAATAGATAGATAGCGGTAATATAATCTTTCAAAATTGTTATTGTTTTTATGGCCTCAAAAAATTAGAGTTTGAACTATTGCTTCAAAAGTTTTAAAATTAGAATTATGACTTGAGTACCTTAATAAAAAAAAAAAAGTTTAAAAAATTAAAAAGCCACTAAAAACGTTTTAATTGGATATCTCAATTCTCAGTAAAGATAGGTATGGTTCGGTTTTGAAATAAACAAAGACCACGCAACTATTTACAATTCCAAAAAAATTGAAATCAAACCGAATTATAAAAATTTTGAAACCCAGCCAAATCCAACTACAAAAATACTATTTAATTCGATTTGGAACCATAGTTGTTATAAATGCTGTTACATTCACAACTTGCTCGAACACCAAGTAATTCGTCATCATTTTATAAAATAAAATTATTTAACTAATTGTTTAGAATTAATTATACTATTATACAATAACACACTCACAAAAGTACAAAGCTAATAACTTATAAATATATATGTGATTCTAATAAGGTACTCAAGTATCTATCAAATCGAAAATTTTTGTGTTTTTTATTATAATCTATTACGTTATTAGTTATGATACATTATGAAATTAGTTATGACATTATTTTGATTATGCTCTAAGAGTTATTTGGTTATAGCTTATGTTATGTTTGGTTATAACTAAACTCTTTTTTCTTCTTTCTTTCTTCTAATTATGGCTCTCATAGTATTGTGTTATGCCATTTGTGATAATCAAACTCACAAATGGCATAACTTGCAGTGTGTACCTTTTTGAGGGTTTGTATCATAGAATTACCCATCATAAATAACAAATTATATATATATATATAAATGGTCTTGTTAGATTTTAAATTGGAACCATAATTATAAAATCATTGACCAAACCATGAAGTACAATCCGCATATTTTAAGAACTAGAACCGAACCATGCATTAAGAAAATCGAATTAAACCAAATCAAATCGCATGGTTTGGTTTGGATCAAATTAATTTGTACATTTTTTTTATTTTTTTGCTTATCCGTAATTCTTACTAAAGTTATTCACTGTCTCAAGTACAATAAATGTGCTTGGTAGGAGAAGTAAGACTTAAGGATTTATATTAACGGCAAATTTTGTTTCACTCTCTTATGGTTAAGAGATGGAGCACTTTATCCCTACATGATTTAATAACAAGCAAAGAGCCCACATGTGGTTTTGACCACTTTGCACTTTGCCTCCTTGCCATTATTAATGTTAGACAATCTTTACTATATTCGACGAATAGATTAAGAAAGAAGACATTATGTTTGAGTACTAAACAACGAAACAGAATATATATATAAATAAATAAAATATGGAAAAATTGATTCTATTTTATTACATAATAAAATAGTCAATCTGTAGATTCTATTCTGTTAAAAGCAAAGCTTAACCTTAAACCCATGCATACAGCACATGTTGCAGATAGTCAATCTGCAATCAGAAGAGCGTAGAGTCATATATATAACGGTAAGTTACGGCATATTCGTCGTCGACATGATACCGTAAGACAATTGTTTTGAAATAGTATAGTCTCAATAGACTATATAAAGTCTAAAGAAAATATCATGGATCCATTAACAAAAGGTTTAGCAATAGAGGAAGTGTATAGTTCATCGAAGAGAATAAGATTAAAGTCTATTACATAAGAGTCATTATAATGGTAACCTTGATTAAATGACTAGAGATCTCCAAGAGCTAAGTTCAAAGGGACAACGAAGTTATGTATGGCTCACTAGAAATCACCAAGGGATTAAATTCCCTATCCATTTCTATGATGACGAGAGTGATATCTGCAACATATATTGTATGCAGGGGTTTAAGGATAAGCTTTACTTTTAATGATTACATATATCTTGATTTAGGAATAAAAATCAAGAAGAGTATAAAGGATACTCATAATAAAAATCACCTATGTGAGTGTCGAACTGGGGTCGATTCTATGAAAATGAAGAGGCTAAACTCTCTAAAGCACTCATGAATAACAAGAAATGTTCAAGGTCAAAATGAACACAACCGTGAGAACCATGATGTGTCAAAAAATATTTTGTGTGAAATATATTGTCTTGACTTACACAAGTGGCTGAACAATTCAAGACATCATGTCCATTGGTTAGCTAGTAAGTTGGATAGGTTATCACTAGGGAAGGTTCAAAGTCGAAAACTACCTTTCCTAATGCAAGATATTTTCGATTTATACTACGTCGACAACTCTGCATATTGTTGCATTTCCATTGTCATCAAATTCCATTCATGTGGATGATTGTTAGAAATGGTTTGGGAAAAAAATATATTTTTCCTAAACTTTAGTATATTTTTAAAGTGGGACTCATACACCAAAGTTGGCAAGTCTATGTGGCAATGCGTTCTTTGTTACATAACGATTCATGTCGTATATTTGGTTGCTCAAAACGATTATCGGGTGAATGAAAAATCGATGCCAAAGTGAGCTCCATGGAAATGGTATTTTAGTTAGTTTTTCATAAAGGATGAAGAAAGGCTTATCCCACATTACTTAGGTAGGCATACATGGTGTAGGTTTATAAGCTTTGACTTTACATCTTAGGGAGGGCCCCAAGGGACACCCAAGTTTTGTAGAGGAGGAGGTTATGGCTAAAGTGGGCCTTAACATTTTGGATCCAAAAACAACCACACACGCGTATGCCGCCGGCTCGCTCGGACTGGCCTAGGCTTAGGCATGGGTGTGAGGTTGGGTTGGGCTTGGTGTTGTCTAGCCCAATACTTATGTTTTTGGGTCAAAAACTTTTGAATTTTATTTTTTCTAAATTAAATTTTTACCATTTGGATTTAAATTTCTGTTTGAAATTCAAAATAAATTTCGAAATAACCCCAATGTTTTTGAACGTTGGCAATTTGGTCCAATATACCTTTTCAGCTTTTCCCTCCAAACTTGAATAGGTTCCATGCTTGTTCAATTCGTCCTTGTTTTTCCTGTATATTTATGCATTTGTTTCTTTGAGAAAGAGTATATACACAAAGTGTGTTCGCTGAACAATTATTGTGTAGTTCTGCTACTAGTTGTTGTCGATCATTTTATCCTGGGAGATAGACGTTCAAATTCTAATAGCACTATGGAGAGAACCAATCTATCCTAAGGAAACAATGTCAAACACTGGACTTGATCAATTTTTCAGAAAAGTAATATTGTAAGTATTTTAGTTTATTTTTTGGTTTCATTTTTTTTTTTAGATTCTATTTTGTTTCTATAATAAAATAGAATTTGTTTTTCCATATTTTTATATATATATTCTGTTTCGATGTTTAGTACTCGAACAAAAAAAAAAAAATTCTTAATCTATTCTTTGAATACAATGAAAATTGTCTAACAATTAATTCTATCTAATATGATGGAGAGTGTTCCAGACTTCTCAAAATTGAGAGTTGGCAATAAAAAAAGTGAAAGTCATATTCAAGATTCAATGTTAAAAGAGAACCATGCCCTTCACTTCATCTTATTCCCCAAACAATATGAAACTCAAACCCTAATCCTAACCTTCATCTTTATTTTATTAAAAACATAATTTTAATTTAACCATATTTTAATTAATAAAACTATCTCTTAACTCTAAAATTCAATTCATTTAGGGATTTTTATTGATAAATCCATTTTAGAGTTGTTATAACCCATTAGGTCCACAAAGGAATATTATAACCTGATTAGTCCCATATACTTTTCTTTTTATTCCATAAGGTCCATTTTACTAATTTTATATTTTTACCTAGACTATTATGCCCTTATATATATATATATATATATACAGTGTTAATACATATCACGTTGCCTATTTCTTCGTTGATTCAGTTTTGGCAGTTTCTATCTTTACGCTTTTCATCATCATTCTAATTTAGTCGGATACGTTTCTATTTTGCATGCTCGTTCCAAGGCTTCGATGTGCTAGGGTTTCATTCTTGCTGTTGTAGTCTGGTTCGGTGATTTTTGAATGAAGACGACGAATTGGAAGGTGTTCAGTTGTCACATTTTCTGGAGTATAACTAGTTCAAATCAGTTGTTTTCGAGTTACTAGACGATTGTAGGATTACATGATTAAGGTTAGTATCATTTTGGTTATGAATACATGTTCAGTTTATGCTTTCATTTGTATGATGGATCAGATGCTCTGTTTTTTCAATTATATGCATTTTACGTGGTCCTGTGGAGGGGAGTTCATTCAGATTATGTGAAGAATGTGTAGTTCTCATTTTACTTTGATGTATCCATAATGAGGCTCTATGTGGGTGATATAATTTAGAGTATATGTATCAATATGAATGTTTACATCTTGTTAATATTATGTGAAGAATGTGGATGTTCTCATTTTTCTTTTATATTTGCTTAATGAGGTTTTGTGTGGGTGATATAATTCAGAGTATATGTATCAATGTAAATGTTTACATCTTGTTAATGTGAATTATGTAAAGAATATGTATGTTCTCATTTTACTTTGATGTTTGCTTAATGAGGTTCTGTGTGGGTGATATAATTCAAAGTATATGTATTAATGTGAATGTTCACATCTTGATAATGTGAATTATGGATTTAGCACTTGAATTGTATACATAGTCATCTAATTTTTGCACAATGTGAATTTTCATATCGTTTTGGATTACTGTTCATTGTTGTATTGTTGTGTTTTTACAGGAGTTGGATACCTTTATGATGTTGGTGTGTACATATGGTTGCAGTACAACTGTAATAAATGTTGCCCGTGCATTGTGTTATTCTCGTTTGGCGAAGTGTTTGTGTGAAAATGGGGTGAGTTGTCTGCTGGTTCTATTTCATTGTTCTATAAACTACCTGGGATTAATATGTGTGATTTGGACAATAAGGAAGAATTTCAGAACATGTTATTGCTTGCTAAATCAATGGGGGTACAACACGTAGAAGTTGTTGTTGAGTTGAAAAGTGATATTGGTCAGTCAAGTAGCTCTGGGTCACTACGCGTGGGGGTTGAGAAAGAAATTGATGCACTACGGAGATTTTGCCACCATAAGGAGAATGTGTTATTGTCGGCCCCTTGGGAAAATGGTATTGCGCATGCAGGACAACGGTTTGTTGGAGGTGCACAAGAATTTCATGATGTTTTATGTAAGTATGTCTTCCAATGTGGGTTTCAGTTTAAGTATGTCAAGAACGAGACAATAAGAGTTACTGCTGTGTGTGCGATGCGTGAGGAGAGAGGCTGCTTGTGAGCTATACATTGTAGAGCACAACGAGCAAATGGTTTTTTCTACATCAAGAGGTTTAGTGATGTGCATAGTTGTGGTACGGATGTCCAAACATCAAAAAATCCGCGAGTTAGTTCAGATTTGGTGTCGAGTACCATATCTGAAATTATGAAGGACAAGCCGTTGACTCGGCCATGCGATGTGGTGACTATTTTGAAGAGGGATTATGGGCTAGATGTAAGTTACCACGTGGTATGGTTGGGCGTGGAGAAAAGAAAAGGCCGTTATTCATGGAGATCATTCATTATCGTTTGACCAGCTGCGGTGGTATTCAGATGTTGTGATGCGTTACAATCCAGGAAGTTATGTCAATATTGACTATGATGCGAGTAGTCAACAGTTTTGTCGTTTCTCTGTGTCATTCGCTGCATGTATTTCTGGGTTCAATTCTTGTCGGCCTTTATTATTCCTGGATGGAACATTCCTCAAAAGAAAGTACAAAGGTCAGCTACTTGCGGCAACGGCGAAAGATGAAAACAATAGTTGGTATTTTTTTTTTAGCTGTCTATTCATGTAAATATTCACATTGAGCAGCATAGTCTGGACATGTGACAGACGATTACACAGTGTGTTCCACATTTACACTGGTGTCAATGTTTACATCAATAGACATTGATGTGAACAACAACAAAATATGAGTGATTTAGAAATTATCAGTAATGAGGACATTCACATTAGTATACACTGATATGAATGTTCACACCTGTGTCTGCTAATGATAGTAATGTGAACATTTACTTTATTATACACTGATGTGAATGTTCACATTAGTGTCTACTAATGTCAGTTTATCCATTAATGAATAGTACTATGAATGTTCACATCATCAATGACATCAACAATCAACAATGACATTATTAATGGACGTTGATGTGAATGTTCACATCATTGATCTTTACGAACCCAAATCCAAAAATAACAATAGTAATAGGGCAATGTAGATATAAACATTCACATGACCTGTTTCCTTTATATTGTTTTCTATTCACTTTGGAATATTGTGAACAGTTGTGTTGTAGGTCTATTTCCTTTTGCATTTGCGATTGTTGATTCAGAGACCACGGCCAATTGGTCGTGGTTTTTGCACGAACTTGGAAAGGTTGTTGATGGCAAGTGCCAGATTACTTTTATTTCGGATCGTAATCTTAGTCTGTTAGAAGCTATGCCAAAGGTGTTCCCATCGGCTCACCACAGTTATTGCTTACAACACTTGAAGAGCAATTTAAGAGACCGGATAAAAGGAATTAATAATGGATTTAGGGATCACCTAATTAGCAGTTTGGGTGACTGTGCTTACGAGCCAACTGTTTCAAAATTAAAAGAGGAGGGTAAGCAACGAGCACATAATTTTTTTAAGGACTTGGCACCTGAGCACTGGGCAAATTCATACTTCAGGTAATAGTAGTTTCCTAATGTATTCTATTTGTCAAGTTTAGAATGGTAGCGATGTGAAGTTTCAGTTATGTTTTGTGGCAATGTGAAATTTCATATTCAGTTTCGAAGAAATTAAATTTCGTATTGTACAATGTTTGTGATGTTGTGCAGGGGCATGCGTTACGGGAAGATGACATCCAATGCAGCGGAGTCATTTAATAATTGGATTAAAGAAGCACACAATCTTCCTATCACTCAAATCGTGGACACAATTCGTACACAATTGATGCGGCAAATGTATGCACGGCGTGACCACGCAAACAAATGGAATGAGCTTATTTGTCCTACATTCAAAACAATGCTTATGGATTCGTTCAATGACAACAGGTCTTGGCAAGTTAGCAAAGCCAATGAGGATGTTTTTGAAGTTCATTCGATACCATCTGTTACAGTTGATATTGGAAGGCGTACATGTTCTTGATTCAAATGGCAAATCAACGGATTCCCATGTGACCATGCTGTGATTGCTATTCAAAAGAGCCACTACAATCTCAATGATTGTATGGAACATTACTTTCATGTAGAGACATATCGTGCAGCCTATTCGGGTGTCATCCCTGTACCATCGGTGGAAAAGCCGCCTTTTGATCACACGGACTTCATTATATACCCGCCAACTGTGAAAAGATCACCCAGAAGGCCGAAAAAGAATAGGATCCCATCAAGGGGTGAGAAACTGAAGCAAATAAGGTGCGGGAGCTATGATAAGTTAGGGAGCCTGTAGACACCCCATTTTTGACCGTCCTCAAGACTTGGACGTCACCGTTTGAACACTCGGTGATCATCCTTGTTTGTGTTCGTCTTGAGTTCCCGGAGGTCTCGGCTACGCGCCTTGTCTCAGGATCTCTCAACTCAACTGTTTTGTGTCTGGTTTTGCACCAAACACTTGTGTTATTGCTTTGGAGGGTAGCGAATGGCTTGTTGGCCATCCCCACACCTCACCGGCCCTGGCTTGAGGCTACCGACCATTGGTTTGTTGCCATCAGCCAAATGTTTGGCCGACAGGCACTCTTTGTGGTCGACCGGCCATCTGTTTTGGTCAAATAGCATTTTTGGATGGCCGACCACTGTACATCTGCTTTTGCAGATATTTTTATGCCAGTTGTGCTAGCTGGCAAACACTTTGCTCCCCTTCATACACGTGTATGGAGGGATCTCCCTCTTGACTAGCATACTTGAGAAGCTTTGCAAGAGTGAGCTCTATAAGAGGGAGCCTCTTCTCCCTCCATTAGGGTTACAACTTTTTTCCAGAGAGAGCTCTGAACTAGGGTTAGGTCATAGTGTATCTATCCTATCTCCATATCTCCCTCTCTTTGCTTTAGTGTGTGTTTCTTCTTAGTTTTGCATTCAAACACCTAGTGTTACACCTTACCTTGGCTACTGAGGTGCTAAGGAGTCATTTTCAGAGTTTTGGAGCTGGTTTGAACCTAAGGAGGCTGCTGGTCTTCCATTTTTGAAGAGGGTCTACAAGGGTAACAACTTGCCCCCTTTATTTCCCATTTTTGCATAGCCTTTTTACCAATCTTGCACCTGTTTTTAGGCTTTTTGTATAACATATAAAAGTCTTGTTTTTACCTGCCTAAAATAGTTGTTTAAGGTTGCTTTGAGCTTTGGGGTTGTTTGACCCCTCTTAGGGCTTGTTTGGCCCCCATTTTGTGCCATTTTGGTGAGCTCCGGGACCACCTTGTTTGGACCTCCTCACCACTGAAATCTTGGGGGATTTCAGTGGTGAGGATGGTGGTTTAAGGTCCTAAGAAGGAGAGGGCCACCCCCTCTCCTTGTTGTCCTTGAAAAGGGCTATTTTAGCCTCATGTATGAGCACCATTTTTAAGTGCATTTTGGCCATGTCTTAGTTGTTATTTGTGCTTATTTTGTCATAATATAGCACTATTTTTACTTGGTTTAGACACACCATGCTTGCCTTGCATGCATGTCTTGTAATGTCATGATTTACGTTAACATGTGCCTAGCATTTAGCCTATTATGCTTACTTATTTTGGCCTAACTTTGTGAAGCTTTTGTGCTTGTTTTAGCATGCTTAAGTTCTTAGGGCTTACTTTTGCATGATTTAGGTCTGTTTTGGTTCATTTTGGTCATTTGCTTCATGTGTCATATGATCATGTTTTAGGTCCTTGGGCTTGGTTACATGCCTAGCTTGCATTGGTAGGTTGATTTGGCATCATTTCCTACATGTTCTTAGAGCTTATTATGTATGCCATATGTCCATGGTTATTCCCTTTTAAGTGTGCTTAAAAGATGCTTCTTGATGCTTAAGTGTTTAGGCCTTAACATATGCATGCTTGTGTGTGTTTTGCCTCTCATTTCCATAGCATTTGGCTACTGTTTTGGGCCTAATAGAGAGTTGTCCAAATTTGTGTAAGTCCCTCCTTTGCATGTTGTGGCATGCTCACCTTTTGTGTTGATTGCATACTTGACTTACCATGTATTGTTGTTGCATGTTTAAATGACCCTTGCATTTGGCACACATTTCCTTGACTAGGTTGCATAACATGTTGCATGCCTTACACACTTGCATGATTAGGTTAAATCTTGCATGTTGATCATTAGCATAGTTATTACATGCTTGCATGCTTGTTAGCTTAGGTTGTGTGCCTAGCATACTTATCTTCATGTTCATATTGCACGCCTAGTTCGCATGCCTAGGTTGCATTGCATTGGCATGCATGCCTTGCCTCTTGATCAAGTGATAGAGGTTGCGCCATTTGTTTGTTTAAGTGCATTTTATTCGACATTGAAATGGCACACTTGGTTTCTTGGGCCGTCACGCATTGAAATGCGCGATTGATGGTCCGAGAATCGAGGACCATCCTCCTTCAAGTCATAAGCATGATAAGGAGTGTGGTTGGTGCAAACATTGCTTGAAATGCATTGCCATGCCATGTTTTGCCCTCTGCTGCTGTCAAAACAGGTTTCTGTAAGAAGCTTTGGCCGGCCGGCCATCTATACTGCCGACCGACCAAATATTTATGGCTGAGAGCTCAACAAATGGTCGATGACCATCCGGACATGGTCGGTGGGGTTTCCACTAGGTCGGTGGTGATCCACAGTGTCCATGGAGCATACCTTGGGAGTTATGCAATTTTCAGAGGAGCAGAGCAGGGGAAACAGAGGCAAACTTGTGCATGGTGGTGGGTTTCCGAGCGGAACCGAGCGCGCATACATTGGGCCCTCTTCCCGAGGCTGCTTTTACTGCTTAATTAGCTTAGTTAATTTGCTTAACTAGTTAATTGTCTGTAATATTTAGTTAGCTTGATAGTTAGTTAAATTGTATTATTCTTTCGGTCCCTCCGAGCGAGGGCAAATTTCTAATAAGTGTGGGTGCGTACGTTCATGTCTTCCAAACCCCATTTCTTTCTCCCTTTTATTTACATGCTTTGATGGTTAGTACTAGGGCATATTTAATTTAGCATCCTTATGCTATGCATGCGTGTATCATTCATCGGTATTGCATGCACCAGGCTCGGCGCATCATACTAACTGCAAAGTATTTCAAATCAAACTTGAATACATGTTATCTGTCGCATCTCACATGCCATTCATAGATTAGCCGAGCCTATTCTAGTGACATTTTGTATGAGATACATTAGCCACCTTAACATGAATTAGGATCATGCATATGATTACTAACTAGTTCACTGTTTTGGCACGGAGTACGATGTAAGTATTTATGCTTTAGCATCTTGCATGAGTATGAATGTTAACATAATAGCATGCTTACCATGTGGCTATATGCTTATGTGATATAACTGCATGAATGCATGTGGGTGAAGGCTGGATTGTTTGAATTGGGATAATTCATCGAAATCCATATTTTAGTCTACTCGCGAGTAGCAAAATTCAAACCATTTTCCAAACAAATGGAAATGCGATGCTTTGTTCCGACTTAGGCAATTTAGTCTATACTTGTTTTGCTGTACGCATCACATAGTAAATCTAGGCTAATAACCGGAATAAGAACGCATAATGTTTTCAAAACAAGATATCATGGTTAGTAGAGGCCGATCTTCGGATCGGGCGAGAGGGGGTGCTCATAGCTGACCTTCCCCAATCGTACCCAAGTTCCCGAGCTGAGGCAACTTTGGTGATGACGAACACGTGGCCTTAGGCAAACGACTCAGGGTTTCCTAAATTCCCAAAATAAAATATTTATGTGACGACTCTGTATCTAGCAAAGCAGTCCATGTTTGGTACTTCTTTCCTAAAAATCTGTTTTCCAAAACGATTTGTCGGATTTAGACTATTTGGTTTAGATCAAGAACCATAACGATTTGAGAGACCGAACTGTAGTGAGCCCAAAACGAACAGAGCGGGGGTCATCCTCCCGGGGCGTTCGGGGACGTCTATAGAGCCATAATCGGAAATCATGCAAGGAGCCGATATGGGATGTACATTTTTCATTTCAACATTGTGTTTTACATTGGATTTTTATATTGATTTTTGAAATAAGATTGTGTTGTGTCGGCAAACATTGTGTTGCTATAAGATTACGTTGTGTTGGCAAGCAGAATAATGGTTTGGCAAACTTAGTATTTCATTTATGTTTTTTCTTTTTCTTTTTGGGTACAAACTGATATTTTGTTAAAGTTTTAATGATGAATACATGATGCGGACATTCACACTTGCGTAAAAGAATCATATTATGTGAAAACTTGCACATGGGTTGAACTTTTTTACATTATTGTTATCAATGTTGACATGAATATAAACTGTGATGTGAACTTTCACATGCATAGAGATTGACATGGTGTGAACATTCACAATTGTTATAAATAAGAACAAATGTGAATATTCACACATGTGTATGTTATCCGTAATGATGTCATATAGACAATGTGTACATTCCTGCACAAGGTATGTGTATTATAGAAAAATCGGATTCAAAAAATCGCATCAATTATGCTCATCACAACACAGCAGTATGAATATCATAAGTGAATGTTCACATTTGGCAGAGAAGAATAACATTCACAACTGTTATGAACAAGAACAAATGTGAATATTCACACGTGTATGTGATCCATAATGATGTCATGTACACATTCCTGCAGAAAATATATGTACTATAGAACAATCGGGTTCAAACCATCGCATAAATTATGCTCATCACAACACAGCAATATGAATATCATAAGTGAATATGAACATTCACATCAGTGTTGCAACTGTGAACATTCATATCTGTAAAACATTAGTGCATATGAATATTATAAGTGAATAGGCACATTTGGCAGGGAATAATACCATTCACAACTGTTATTAACAAGAACAAATGTGAATATTCACACATGTGTATGTGATCTGTAATGATGTCATGTAGACCAAGTGTACATTCCTGCACAAAATATGTATATTATAGAACAATCGGGTTCAAACGATCACATAAATTACACTCATAACAACACAGCAGTATGAATATCATAAGTGAATATGAACATTCACATCAGTGGTGGAATTGTGAACATTCACATCTGTAAAGCATATCAACACCAAAGGTAGATCAAAATTCATAGGTGGCTTTTTCCCATTAATAGATGGTGTATCACTGTTTTACAATCAGTTGTTGTGTCAAAATGTCAAAGTATTTGATATTAACATTCATATTGAGTATTGGTTACTTTGTAGGTGTAGACCTCCCACCTATAGGTTTTAATGACACTCTGATTTCTTATGATTCAAAAAATTATGTACTAACAAATCTCGTAG